GGGAATCCAACACGGAGAGGCAAAACACATGAGTACCATATTCACACATTATTGAACTGCAATTTCATTGTGACAGTAAAGCTGGATACTTGATAACTGTTACATTATAAAATACATGGTATAAAAATTGTGTATAACAACACAACAGGATGCATGAAATGAAAATTATAAATGCTAGTCAACCAAATTGCATTTATAAATACATGAACCTATGTAATGTTGACCTTGACCTATACATCCACTCCCCATACGACTTCATGGCGTAATGCTTACTTAGTTAAGTACAGGGAAAACTTTACGTAAAATATTTATTGAGGGGTAGAGCTTATTAATTTCAGTGACAAGGGTTGAAACTATCATCCCTGATTTTGTTGCCACGGGCAGTATTAAATATGCATCAGTTCCTGAATAAGCCATTACAGGAGAGATTTCACGGTGGTTACGTCTTTCTGATGAAAAATATTAATTCATTATTTGTAGTTTGTGGCGTATCACACAGCGATTATGCTGTCGTTTCCCAGAATCGGCGCTAAAAGTGTAATATTTTTGCCAACCCTAGCCTTTCACCAGGAAATCTCTAAATGCGCGACCTATCCATTATCACGCTGTCAGCTGCAAGCTATAATCCAACAAAGTAAACAAAAAGACGGATTAAGTAGCTTCATACTTTCAGCTTTCACGTTGCTTTTGCAGCTCCAGCATTGTCTTTCCAATGCATACCAGATGAGGGTCAGGGAGAAGAATTTTGTGAAGAAACAGGAAGATAAACTTTTGTCATAAAGTCGATGAGAATCCTTTAGCTTGCTTTGACAGCCCTTTATAACAAAGTAGTCTTCGTCAGTGACCGAAATTCAAACACAGAAATGTAAGAACAAAGCTCTCCTCGAGCTCTGTTTGGTGTCTCTTTTAAGTAGTTTTCTATTTTGAAAAGAATGAGATCGAATGTCTACATACAGTCCACTGTGCCTAAAGAAAACGGAGGTTTGTTTCATCATAACTCGAGATTAATGTCATTATTCTATTCTGTATTTTCTTTTAGCTTTGTACGTATGGTATAGACTGGTTTAAAAGCAGTTTAAGGTTGGCTGCTTGGTATTGCTTTTATTTTTAAGAAAAATCTAAATATTACACTTGACTTTCCTATATATCTGCGGTATAACGCTCTCCGCGTGTATGTATAACCTGATAACTTTTAAACATTTCAAGGATTTTCACGAAATTTTACATGAACATTCTTTCATTAGAAGACACAACTGGGTTTATCGATTTCATGCTCCTAGCAGTATCGATACAGCAAAGTTCATTTGTGTCTTGTGTAGCAGTATCTGTTTCTTTTTTCCCCATTATATGAGAATCTGGTACAGTCTTACTTGGATTACCCCATAGCCAAGGATTTACCGACTGCTACAGATCGGTATCTACTAGCAGATGGCTCCAGTCAAGGAAGTTGAGAATCAGCAACTGAAGATGAATTCCAGAGTTTCTCTGCCACATTAGTAAGCTCGAGGGCATTCACTACTTGATCCTTTCTCCATAGTTAGCCATAGTGCGAAGGCGTAATACAAATATGGAGTACAGAAATTTAATAAACTTCTTTCTCCGACTCTGAATACTACAGCGGCCTTAAAGGCTTCATTACAGAGGAGAATTTATAGCAACAGAGGAATTCACACAAATATTATATCCCATAATCATGAAAGAATTTACATTTAGTTACGCATTGACTCCAAGCAAAGAATTTTCCAAACAGGAGTTGAACATAAGCTTTTCGCTATGCACCGAATTTTTATTAAACCTACGAGGAGATTTTAGGAGCAGTAATTTCGATTTAGGCTTATAAAAATACTCGGCGGATAGGCTTAATCCAGATGAATATAAACTCAACTCTTGCTGCACATTGTAATTAAATATCAAATAATTTTAAGAGAAATTCCAGATGAAATTTGTTGCGCCCAGTAGTGTTCGTTTTACGCATATTTTGTAGAGAATTTAGCAAATAAACTTAACGAAGCTGCAAAGAGCCTGTACTGCAGTGTGACTGAATATTTTGAGTGGACTGCAAACAACTGCTTGGTTTTTGTACTTGTTCCGCTACATCAAGTTGACGGTAAGGCTATATACGCCATTTCTATTCGTCTTCAGCGGATTTCCTATGCGACATTTTAGCCTCGGGACGCATACTTCGTATGACGCTCGCATGGGAGCGAGACTCAATGTATATTTAGCAACTATATGGAGTTCGTATTGCTCTGGGGGTAACAGTAAATTCTGCTGCCTCGAAATTCCGAAATATTTGCGGCGGGGCTGAGGTTCGCGGAAATATAACTTCATATTCCATCTTTACAGCTGAACCTCAGTGCGATGTCACAGTAGACATTACACAACGCCCTAGAGAAGCACTGTGCTGTAAGAAGGAAGGGCATTGGATTAAGGAAAATTGTGCCTTTAGCCTTTAACAGATATAAAATTTTATAGTGATAGTAGTGAATTGTATATTTTTTAAATTAAAATTTCACATGTTCCTTCCACAGGCTACAAAAGAATAAACCATTAATTGGGAGTAGTTTGGCTCTGCAAGTACACAGAAACTAAAGAAGAAATTTTTGGAAAACTGTGTTCTGGGTTTCTGTTGTTGACAAAATTTAATTTTGGTTTGTAATCGGACTACAGGACACGAAGTTGAAATAAAAGTTTATTTTTTTTTAAAGGTTTGTTATACAAATGAATATTTCACTTGAAATGTTTTCTATCTAGTACATATCTATAGACACTATAGGAGCTATGTTGGATCTGAGGTTCTCACGGCAGTGACTATGAAGAATACGGTCTTCTGTTCTATAGTGACGTGCAGTTCGGAGAGACCTCTTCTCGAACTACACGGCGTTAGAACCCAGATTACAGTAGTCTTCAGCAGTAATTGTGTTTAAATGATACCGGTAGGTGAAAATTTGTCTAATCCATTTCCTGTTAAGAATGATCTGAAAGAAGCGCACAATTTATCGCCGATGCTTGTAAATCCTTTTCTGGGGTGAACCGTTTTGTAGGTGCAAGAAAATCGGGAAGGATTAGGATTATTCGAAAACATTAACTTCCGGTCTATGCTCCTGCATCTGATAATTCATTTGTCTAAAAGTATATAGATATTATACAGAAAGTATATTAGCCGCTTTAAGTAAGGATAGTCCAGAAACAAAGAAGAAAAATAGGAATATATTGAAGGACTTTTCTAAGGCGGACGGATACCTGTCTTTTTGGAGCATTTTCTTTACCTATCAGTTAACAGGCCAATACACATCAGCTGGAAATGCCAATAATTGCTCATCCATTATATTATTATTAGGCCTACTGTGTACAGATTATCTTTATACCTGAAATGTAAATCACATTAACGTATTCTCTTTCAAGAGATTTTTTCCTTCTGTTATTTTCTCTCTCTTATCTCCAAAGAAATTCTTAAGCAACTGCTTCTAACGCAGGCGAAATTGATATTCTCTTAGGACGAGTGCCAACCAAGGAAACTGGAAACCGCAATGCAACTGTATTTTCCGAGAATTTTTATCACCCTGAGTTGAACAGTGTTATTGAATGGAGCAGCGCAAATTGAGGAAAGGCAACGCAGTTTCCTCAATTTGCGCTGCTCCATTCAATAACACTGTTCAATTCGGGCTGATAATTCTCGGAAGTTGCGGTTGTCAGTTTCCTTGATGTGCCCTCGGCCTAGCCTTAGAAATGAGGACGCATTGGCACCGGTGCCAGGTATGGAAGCAACAGACATATCGGCTGGTACCAGGGGTGGCAGGATATAGCCATTTTAACGTAAGGACCCATTTGAAGATTCAACAGTTCACACAACGATTATTCATTTGTATTACTTTATGCATCCCCTCTCCTGAGTAACGGGAAGCATGGCTACCTAAACAAAGAAAGACTGCATAAAGTTCCATTACTTTAAATTATTTTAAACGTGAAATTTGTATAGTCAAATTTAAGAAGCTGCCTCTGAACTGAAATGACTGCAGTCCGTGTCGCCCTCGAAAGCTTGGAATTGAACTGCATAAAATGAGAAGCAGTGGATATGTCATTAAGCAGTGCTGGAGCAGTGGGAATAGCTGGCACTTGTTGTTATCATTAATTAACTTCTGATGTAAATGTGGCACCACGCAGAGGAAACAGCCGCAGTGGCTGCACCACAAGGACAAATTAGAGATCTCTTTGCTCCAGTCTCTCGGTTCTTATATAGGAGCTGGGAAGATTTCTAGTTGAGTGGTAGCAGGCAGTGTGAGAATTCAATCTACCTTTAACTTGATCTTAAATGTAATTTTGACGTGTTACTGCGATCCGAATACATTCCAAGGGATAAGAAAAAACATATTTCACCATAGCGAGACTTTCTAATCTCTTAAAACCCACACAATTACTTTTCCATTGTCCTGTATTCTATAAAATAGAAAACACAACGTTTCGGGAACTGGATCTTTTTCCGTCTTTAAGTGAGGTGGGAAGTCGCCTACTCAGTTAGGTCCTTTAGAAAGAGCTAATCTCAATCACTGGAGTGAGTAGTTTTCTTCCCCCTCACTTGAAGACGGAAACAGATCCAGTTTCCGAAACGCCGTGTTATCTCTTTTCTAGAATATAGGACGATGGAAAAGCCCCAAAACCTAGTAATTCTGTGTGTCGTCCACGATCGTCAGAACCCTTTAGAATCTTCTTGAAAATCAATTGTGACAATGAATTAATGAACACGCACAACACTGACTACTGAAAAAGACTAATCTGAAGCAAAAGTGACCACAGAAAGCACATCAACTTCTGAGAGAGGAATATCATATTTTGTTGTCAGGCATGTCCACCCAAGCACTGCCTAGCAATGGATGCACTATTGTTGCGCACTCGTTGCTGTGATGTGTGTTTTCCGGTCTACTAGCTAGCAACGCTTGAGCAAATCTGTTAAAATATACGTACTTCAATTTAATTAGATTTAAGTACTTGGATAAACTGACCTGGATGTTACCAGTGCTGGGGATTCCTTTAGTGTTGCAGAATGCGAGGAAGATGTGTAGTCGTAAACCTGAAAGATAAAATTACTACTATTAACCTATCTGAAGTAATATATTTCTGTATAAAAAGGAAGGAACATGCGCCAAACGCGAGCGTCAAGAGCCCGCAGTACTCTGTAATTTTAACCTACATTCAATTCATATAAACGAATGTCTTGGTTTCTAATACGTCATCATTTTGTGAGGTTTTTGTGGTCTCTTAATAGGGGAATCACTCTTTCATCTGTGTCATAGTTCAGTCTCGTGCCTCAAACAGTACAGATTCCATTTAGATTAATGAACTCTATACAGTTCATCTTTGTCATCGTAAGAGGGTCCTATGATTACTCTTCTTTGCTACCTTTCTGTCCCGTTGAAAAATAACTGTATTGTCAAGCTGGCAGTGATGTTTCCCAAGACAGGAAACATCAAAGTATTTCGTAAGTACGAGAACAATAGATGGATAAAGAAACACTGAAACTCAGTCCCCAAGTTTCTGCAGCAACTTGGGGGCTTGCAACACAAGAACAGATGAGAAGGAATTGTGAGCCAGGTTAAAAATTGTATAACAATATAGAAAGGATCTGCAGGACTGAAAACCAATAAAGGAAGGAAATATAAAGAGGGCATGATAGCAAGTACGTGATGTATCTACAGAAACAATGCTTCCTGATGAAAACAAAATGTACTGTTGAGATATGGGAAGGGGAGTTGTCGACTTCGATATTAAAAAAAAAATCAGGAGAAAATTGTATAAGCTCATGAACGATGAGGTTTGTTTGTTCACCATTTCTGAACGTAATATTTTTCACAATAAGTTTTCTCATCGCGATAAATTATTTAAGGAAGGTTTTGCTTCGGTATAGGGGGGGGGGTTCGAGCACACGGAGACGGAAGCATTTTTGCTGTATACTTCATCTCATCAGAGGGAAATTCAGTTCGACCTCTGTACTTTCGGGAACAAGGTGTCTGAGAATGAGGTGATGATAATATTTCGAAGAAAGGAAGAAAAATTGCCTGCATACATCGGCATAGTGAAGGACTTCAATATTTGTGACATTCACGTAGTATTGTTAAGCAAAGAGAATCAAGAGGGGTAATATGGGTAGGACATTCAGTAGGCATGGGAAGAATGAGTTAGAGTATTTGTTGAGAAACAATCAGGAAGAGATTATGTCGGCTATCTAGGTACCAGAGGATGTACTACTCTGTCCAAAAAGTATCCGACCGTGGGCCGGGAAAAAAGTTCTGTATCTGGGTGGTTACAATACCTAATCGCCTTCAAAGTAGGCCCCTTGTGACTCCACACACTTAGCCCAGCGGTCCTTCCATCGCTGGAAGCAATTCTGGAAGGCTTCTTTTGGAATGGCGTGCAGCTGCGCCGTCGCGTTCTGTATAATGCCCTCGCGGCTGTCAAAACGGCAACCTTTAGCGGTGTCTTCAATCTCGGGAACAGCCAGAAATCACAAGGAGCCGTGTTAGGAGAGTAGGGAGCCTGGCAAACCTGCGGAATGCCGTGCTTGGCCAGGAAACCCTGGATCAGGTGTGATGAATGAGCTGGGGCGTTGTCATGAAGCAGCTGCCAGTTGCGTGCGTCCCACAGCTCCGGTCTCTTGCGCCGAACTGCATCACGAAGATGGCGGAGGGCTTCTTGGTAGTACTCCTTATTGACAGTCTGGCCTAGTGGTGCGTACTCATGATGCACAAAAGTCAGTATCACCTTCACATTGCTCTGAACCTGTCGTGCTCTTTTGGGCCTCGGGGATGTTGGATGTTTCCATTGTTATGCCTGGACCTTGATTTCCGGGACATATCCGTACACTCACGACTCGTCACCAGTGATCACAGTCTTCAGGAACTCAGGATCCCTGTTGGCGCACCCCAGCATGTCCTGCGCGACCACAAGGCGGAGTTGTTACTGCTCCGGCGAAAGCAGCTTGGGCACAAATTTTGCCGCCACTCTTCGCATGCCCAAATCCTCAGTTAAAATTGTGTTTGCGGAAGCTCTGCTGAGCCCAACCTCATCAGCAACTTCACGGATGGCCAAACGACGGCTCTCCATGATCAGTGTCCGCACTTTTTCAATGACATCAGCATTGACGGTCTCCCGGAACGCTGCTCACTGTCCGCCGACATACGGTCATGTTTAAAGCGGTTGAACCACTCCTTTAATTTCAGTGACCCCCATTGCATCATCGCCGAAAGCCTGCTGAATTTTGCGAATTGTATCCCCAAGTTTCTGACAAAACTTGATGCAGTATCGCTGCTCCAAGCGTTCTGTCATCTTGAGCGAAACGAGAATGCGACGAACACATGTTACACCACTTCGCTATCTGGCAGCCACAGACGCATCCGGCGGTGTTGCGAGTCAGCAAAAAGTCACGCATGCGCATGAAAGTCCCTTCTACCACTACGCTCAGTTTCCCCACCCCTTGGCCATTTCTTACAGCGGAAAAAAATAAAGTCGGATACTTTTTGGAAATGCTATTAAACCTGGCAACAGTGTGAAAGTAATATGCCTAAAAGATATTAAGTATTGATATCGCTTTTACATGCATTACACACGTGTCACAGCTACTCTACATTTCTTTGTTGCTAATAATCGTCCGAAACATTTTCCCAAAATTTCTGTAGTGGACACAGTCCCAACTCTACTAGGCTACTTTCGAATAAAAGAGATCAAAGTGGGCACAAATTTATGCGCTAAAATAAAGCACTGAGTTCATATCGATACCAAATTTAATTCTTCTTCAGAATATGATATAATAACAATTTTTCGATAGTAATCGATACATCTACATCTTCCTTTCATCTGCTTTTTATTAAGACTCCATTAGTACCTATAGATTTTGCTCTGTGTGTGTACCAGATATTTTCAAATACATATTAAAATGTTATGCTTTTACTCAAAGAGAATAGATGATTTTCAACGCGTGTTCCTGCTACAAAGAGCGGCGTCTGAAGCAGCTTCGTCATCGACCAAATCCCAAGCCAGTTGCAGCTGCCATATTCTCGTTTCTGTTAAAACTTAATGGGTTATTCGGATCCTGCAGACGCGGGGACAGGAGGGAGAAGGGACTTGTCCTTACGTCAAGCGACGCCGCGAATGATTTAGCGGCGCCAAGCATCAATAATGCAATTATTATCAGCATTCTCGGTATATATCATACGTCTTGCTAACCTAATTGATTTCCGCAAAAGCAATCACCGCCTTCTGCATCTGCCTCCTCTGTAATTACATCAGTAACAGGTTGCTACCGGCTTCCAAGTTACGAGATCACATTATATAAGGGGTTTCATTGGGGCTTCCCCTACGTATTAAACGCATTCACTTTAACATATTTGCGGGGATCAAGTATAAGATCTAAAAAATATTGATATATACATCCACTCCCCCATACTACTTCATACCGTAGTGCTTAATTAGTTAAGCACAGGGATAACTTACTTGCATAAGCATTCTAAATTCGGAGAATAATTTAAAACTTGTATTATCCGTGGCAAGGATTTCTATAGCACTTTCCACAGCAGCTGCTTCGTAATATCTTCCGAATTTTCTATGCTAAAATTTGTAAAAATCGTGTTTTGAAAACCCATATGCGCGAGTGTTGATTACCGCGGTTTCTTCGCTGATTATTGGAATATTCATTCATCAAGTTTTCAATATTCCCTTTGTCCCCCATCGAAATGATAATAGTGAATAACTAGATTTCTTTGACCGCAATTCTAGGCTGAACAATAAAAATGTGATGGACCTGCATGAAGGACTGGGAGATGGAGTCAGCAAATGGCTCATCTATCGAAACCTCAAACCAATGAAAGAAGCTCTTGAAATAATTTATAAATTCCATTGAATTTTGAGACTTCTGACACAATATGGACCTACATGAAATCATCAAATAAAAACTAATGTATACGAAATGTTTCTTCCATTCCTTTGTATAAAGTTTCACAGAAGAATTTAATTTTCAAAAATTCAAAGGACATTCATTTCCTGTTTTTTCTCAAGGTCGGGTGTAATGGAGTGGTGTTTCCGTCCAGCGATTGTTTCAACTGGCTTATAGAATTCTGTGCTATGCATCCGCATCTGTTATAACGCTTCTACGAGCAGTACAGCCGATAATGCTTTCGTGTCGGCAGGTTGGTGCGACAGTAGCGCTAGTAACCTTCACTCGGAAGACAGAGGCGGCGCTAATATTGATTATGGTCTCCATAAAATCGTTGATATCGGGCACACACCTTCAAGAAAATTAAAATATTATACAGAGAAGTAACAAGCTCATAGCAAGCAAAATCAGAGATATATTTATCCTGTTTTCAAGAAAATAGAACCCATGGTTTATTATTTATAACAAATTCAATTATATGCAATGGAAGAACACCATGCAGAGTGCAAGAGCCAATAGGAACGGTCACAGTTGGCGTCAATTAGAGATCCGGTATTAGTGCTATAAGTGCAATACTTGAAGTATGAACGTTGCTAAGTGCTGAGTAAAATTATTGAGTTTGTTCTCGACATACAAAAACAAATTTCTTAGAACTCATCTTGTAATTCTGGGATGTAGTTCAAAATGCTTAGATAGGTGAAAGTAAAGTAGTGCTTAACTAATTAAGCATTACGCCATGAAGGCTTGTGAGGAAGGGTATGTGCAGATCCATATTTTCTTGGTTTCGGAACTAGGTGGTCAGCTTCACGCCCGGCCGCTTTACCTCTGCGGAAAGAACCCCCCCATATCCATTTGATAGGAGGATGGGTGAACCCCAGAGCCAATCTGGACGACGTGGAGAAAATTCTTTATCTACCAGGCCAAGAACACCGACCCCTGGGTCTTCCAGCCCGTAGCCATAATATTTTGGAAGAACTTTCTGCCTCCGTCTTCACGGTATAGGGATACAACAGTTTCCACTAAAACTCTGGTTTCTATCCACCAACACATGACGTCACATCCCAGTAGGCCGGAATCCAGCACTGCTAGAATCTCTAAACCCACAATCCCTGTTCCTTCCATACGAACATCTGAGACGTCTTTCTTC